GTGTTTGTTTAAGGCTTTCCTCAGACATCAATGTTGTGAATTAGGCAAGTTGTGTTTTTGGCTAAACTAAGCTGTTCCGCTATCACCACCGCTCATGTAAACAACTCCGAAAGCTCTTTTTTCTCTTGGATCTGATGGCCATCCTCTGCACTGCATTTTGAGTGAGAATAAAATTTAATCTAGACCTCAACCATAACAACAAGGTCAATTAATTGCAGGAAGTAAACTATGAGGAAGGCCCTCTAATCTGATAGGAGCTAAACTGGAGACACGTGAGACCTTCCTGGCCTCTTGAGAACAATAGAGGTTAAACAGTGAAGTCTGTTGGAGTTCAGCCAACTCTCAGTGATTAGAAACACCAGATTTGCATTAATGCACAGTTACAGAAGATGATGGCCAAAAGGCAGACAAACAGCAAAACTAAAACATATGTGGTCTGAGGAAGAAAAAAACTGTTTACTATTTTTTGAAGCCTGGCATTACAAACAGGGTTGTTGTCCTGTAAGAACATCTGCTCTCGTCTCTCACAATCCTCCTTTTGTTCCACATGAGTTCAGACTCAGGGAACACCAGAAAATCACTGTCTATTTGCACGGTAAGACCAGATGTACCACTTAAGCTGTAGAGCTTATGCTGTGGTGCTATCCAGCAGATCAATTAATCTCTTTCAGGTACAAACTGGGAATTATCCTGAATCATTATACTCACTCTACTCTCTTTATGGGGAACTTCCCAGATCCTGGCCATGAGGACGAACGTCAAGACATAGTCACAGACTTGGGTATGAAAGGAACTTTAATCTCATCATGTATTTATACATGACTAAACTAGTGGGATTCTTTCAAGGGACAGCAGCCAAAATGATTAGGGATACACTAATATGGGAATTGTGGGCTGTTGCTGATATTTGATATTTTTCATGTACATAACTGATGTCGGTACATTTATAAAAATTGATTTAGCATTTAACACAGCACCCACGAGATAGCAAAGAAAGATTTTTTGAGTGTACATGCTTCATGAAATGAAGGATTTAAATATTCTTGATCTTCTGGATGATGTTTGTTCATATTTTCAGGTAAAACAGTTTGATGTTCTATTGAAAAAAAGCCGGCATGAACTTTTACAGTACGTTTACGTCACATCTTCTTCTGTGAGTTTATTGGTTTCTTCTAGTAGTCTTAAGCTTTATCACCTGTCTGTAAGGCACTTTTAGCTACCATGAAGCTTTGTAAACAAATAGTTATAAATAAATAAATAAATATCTTTATTTAAAGTGCTCTATAAATAAAGGATTTATTATTATATTATTTTCTTATGTTATTATTATCCCTAAAAATTATCATTCATTTTCACCCAAGCATGCTTCTTCTAAATCAGAAATGAACAAACTAACATATGCATTGTACTACAAAGTTATGTCATGTAAATCATGTAATGTAAATAGATATTTTATTACTAGGCTGTCTTCCAAACAGGCTGGACATAAACAGCACTAACTGGTGCAACCTTAACATTTATCAGAGTCACTGTAAAGTCTGGAGTTTTACTTAAACCACATACACTTGTATACTTTTCACAAAAATCACGATAAGTCAGTCCTGCTTCAACAAAGTTGTGCAAGAACGTCACTAAGGGACTATCAGTGAACACATCTAAAGCGGTGAGGGTTTCCAGTAAGCAACTATTCTGGACTTTTCTCTTATGGCAATTGCAGAGATCTCTGTTATGTAGCTTAAAAACCGAGCACTAATATTCAAAGGAGTTCAGTACTATGAAATAGATCATTGTTAAGGTTCATAGATGCAGGGTTTCTGATGGACTCATTACCATCAAAAATGTGTTAACACACTTTTACAACAGTTACAGTCATTATAAACATCTATTCTTATAGAAATACTCGTATGAAATCAGATATCTCTGGTCAAAGCCAGTTTTGATAGATGATACAGGCAAAATATTGTTCCTGGGAGTACTCCTCTGCAGTCTGGAAATTGCATATATCCTTACTGTCATGCTGCAGTTGTTAGTTAATCTAGCTGATATAGAAGGTAGCCTGTTTTAATCATTCTCTAATAAAGCAAGTTTATTTTTCCAGACAATCATCACCTCCTCCTTCTGCCCCCCTACGGTTTTCTCTAAAGGATATACCATCATCCAGTCCCATTACACACAAGAGTTCTGGCCAGGCACTCCAGTCAAATAGCTATACTGCAGAGTGGAAGAAGGTGGAGCCTCAGCACTACAGACTGGATAATCTAACCCTTGTGGAGAACAAGCAACTTTTACTGAGCATGACAGACAAATGGCTAAAGCAGAGCGACAGAAGAAACCAGGATCATGAATCCTATCCATCTCTATGAGCATGCACTTTAAATGTCAGTAATGTCCCAACTCCATATGTCAGCATGGCTCTTATAAACTTTTTAAAAAGTTCACTATATGTCCAAAGGTTTGCAGACACCTGCTCATTCAGACTATTAATAGGGAGATGTTCCCCTTTTGCTACAGTAACAGCATCAAGTCTTCTAAGAAGGCTTTACACCAGATTTTGGAACATTGCTGTGAGGATTTGACTGCATTCAGCTGCAAGAGCTTCAGTGAGTTCAAGTACTGTTGGATGATTAGTTCTGGATCACAAACGTCACTCCAGCTCATCCCAAAGGTATTGGCTGGAGCTCTATCACCCCAGAGAACGCAAATCCACTGCTCTGCAGTCCATTGCTGTGGGGCTTTATACCCCTCTCGCCTATGTTTGGCACTGGGTATAGTGACCTTAGGCTCATGTGCTCCAGAGTGTCCCATTCTGTTGGCAATGCTTTTCTATGTAGACTACAGAATCTGTTTCAATAATGGATGCACCTTAAAGTAACTGAATTCACTAATGAGAAGGGGTGTCTGGATACTTTTGGACATATAATGTGTGATCATGGCAGATAAAGTACAGTGAGTAGTGTTGGGGTGACAAGGTACAGAGAAACGCTTTACAGTAACGTGATTGCTTTTTGCTGTAACAAATTTGTGTAACGCATTACAGTTTCAGTTCTTATCATCACGTTACAATTACTGACTTAATAAGAATTATGTCGCTTGCATTACTCCTGTCACAAACAGAGCAATTATAATTATGTGTGATGCATTTAAAATATCAATTTTATGTTTTATACATTACCTTCATCAGCTGACTATGCAGCAGAAACTCACTGAATGACTTGGCGAAGCTTCAAATCACGCTAATATGAAACTGTTGGATAAAGACCCACATGCTGAAAACCACCTGACTTGATTTTCTTTCACAGACAGCCCTGTTAGCTTTACATTTTACTCAAAAAAGATTTAATTTTGAGGCAACAGCTTTTGAGCCGTTTCTACAGAGAGATCAAAACAGTATCAGCCACTTAACTGTATAACTGTACATACAGAGTATAGGCAGGGAAAGTGACATGCCTTTTAAATAATGTTTACTGTGATTGACTACTTGTATGTTATGTTTAAATAAATTGCTGAAAGAATTACTTTGTTTTTCTTTGTATAGACAGTACAGAAGTGCAGATGTGCGGGTTTTAGCCTATAGAGTAACACAAAAGTAAAGTAATGAGTAGTGAGATTACTTTATTGAGAGATGTAATTAGTCATTTGTAATGGGTAAATTTCGAGTAACTACCCCAACACTGATGGTGATGGTAAACTACAGGCTGCATGCTCTGAATTCTGTGGCTAATTATAGCAATTTAGGCTAGTGACCAAATGGAGGCATAGCAAAATGTTTATAATTTTATTGTAGCAGACGTTTAATCTTCTCATCTGGTATGTACTTTCAACAAAGATCTAAAGATCTACATCGTGTACAACAGACATAAAGACCATGTTTATACTTTATGCAGTTGCTGCCTGTTTCTCTCAGCTGTCCTCCCTAGCAGCTATCAGCAATCCTCTCAGTCCAGCCCTCTTTAACCCAACCCCCAGAAGTTCTGACCTGAGTGGGGGTGGCAAGCATGAGCTGCAGAATGGGCAGTGGCCAAAGAAAAGAAGCACTCCTCATTACAACAGCGTGCAACACAGTACTGCACTCTCCTCCGGCATAAACAACTGGAAGCAATAAGCAGAGGAACTGAACAGCATTCATTTATAATAAAATGACTTGTTTCAGTAGTAACACATAGTAACCCATACTATTTTGGTATTTACTCCAATAAGGAACACATGAGACACATATGACTACTAATATGTAATACAGACTAAAGAGCCTCAAATGCAAAGTTCAACATGATTTCATATGCCAGTGTTATTAATAACTAAAGTACTGATATACAGTTACATTTCACCCCCCTCAGATGATGTCTTTAAATGTCTAACGTCTTGCTGAACTCTCTGAACTCTACTTCTACTTCTTACAGCTGTTCTAACTGTTAGCATACAGTTCGACCTCCAGCTGATGTATCTTAATCCACAGCCACTGCTTTACCATGTAGAACCTGATTCGTACAACACTGTTCCATGTGCATCTCCCCTTTTCACGTGCTAAGTTCACAGCCCCGTAATTACGCACTTTGCGCACGACTTGCCAAACTGCACCGCTATTCGATACTTAGCTTTCACTGTGAATAGCACGAAACATTAAAGGAGATAATGTTCTAAGTAGTCTTAACTTAAACGAGCTTACCTCAGCTCTGCTCTGGTGTACGCCGGACAAAACAGCTGCCACAAGAAACAGTGTGCCACCTGAGAGGAGCATGGCGCCGCTCGCGTTGCCCCTCACACCTCAACAGAACGCAGAAGCCCCCAAAAGCACAGCCTGCTTCTTCCTCGCGCTTCAGCTGAAAAGTCTGCTTTTCTACCGGAGCCTAACCGGCACGTTTGTCTGCATCTTTGCCCCTCGACGTTATGCGGTTCTGTTCGAAGCAGCTGCTCGTAGATGAGCCCACCACACCCCCACCCACCCACCTCTGAAGCGACCACCCTCAGCACGCACGAGCTGTACCATCTGTACAACAGAGCGACACTCTCTTTTCAACGTTGCCCAGAGAAAGTTTCTCCAAAGTGTAAGAGGCGAGAGATGAGCCTTCTCCTGTAAAATAAGCGCGGGAATTCTGCATGCGCGAGCGCACCGCGTCCGAGTTGAGGGGAGCGCGTGAGTCTGAGGTAAGAGCGCGAGCTCGGCTTCTGCTGGAAATAACTTTGGTACTTTGCAGTTAAGACTAAGATTGTTGTTACACTGTTGATATTTGTACATATTTTGTCAAAAGTATTGTTAGAACACGACAGTGGACCGTGGGTTCTCCTACGAACCTTTCCGAAGAGCTACTGAGGACTTGTTCATGTCTTAGATGTTGTTATATCGCACCGACAAACTGTAGGTTTCATTTAAACACGGTCTGTAGATGTATCTGCTGTGTCGTCTCTAGTATTCGCTCTCTGTAGGCCTGCACGTCTGTTTGTAAACCTTAATAGTGAAGTATAGTTGGAGTTTGAATGCTTCTGTATGTGTACATGACTTGCTGTTTACCTTCATGGCAGCTCTTTCCACTGACATGTTCTACAAGACTTTCAGTGTTTTTATCCCACGCAATTGAAACGCTTTTTTGCAAATTGCAGGCTGTGCATAGTGGCAATGCTGTAGCGGTGCTGCGGGGTGGACGACAGGCGAGAGAGAATGAAATTTGAAGTGCGGATGGAGGGCGTGATGAAAACTCTGAGGTAAACTTTCAAAGACTTCACACTGCCTGCTCAAAGAGCTTTAGCCCATGCGCATGAGCGAGAGCTCAGGCTGTGAAGCACTCAGCTCCTTTTTCTGTCTCTTTCAGGTTTCTGCTTTTTTGTCTCACTGTCCTCCTACTGACGTCAGAAGTTAACGCAGTGAGTCGAGTTCTTTTTAAAAATGTTTCATGTACTGTTTGAACGGAGTTTAACACATTCTGCAATGAATTATAAGCCGTTCATGTGCGTCACTCAGTAAAGGCGTTTCCAAGCGAACCCGCTGCCAGTTATATTGCAAAACGTGCACTCCTCAAGTGGGAGTGTCCAGGGACCGAAATAGTATACTATGTACAGTGTATTGTTGTCCCAAAAAAAGTATCTCCAAAATGGTAACTTTACAGGAGAAGGCAAAACATTCGTAATGTTTAATGTAAGTTAATGTTGAAAGATTTTAGTCAAAGTAATTTTGACGCATTTCTGCTGGTCCATTCATCATGAAATTTTGACACAATGTAAAGCACAGCTTTACATGGACAGCTCATGGTATTAAACAGTTTAGTTTCCAGTATATGACAGTTTACCATGTACCATGCTGCAGGATCACATGACCACCAGAAGGTTATGTTCATGGTTACATCCTTCTCAAATGACCAAATTGCATTATGAGGTGTATTATATCACAGTGCTGTGTTTGTCTTTGTTGTATGGGAGAAATTGATGTTGGTCACATACTGCATACTGCATACTGCAATTTATGTTGGTCACATACAACATACAAACTGCATGTTTTGGGCACAATCCATATCATATTTTAATAATATTAATATTATATACACAAAACTTACACTCTGCTAACAAATAAAAACAGACTTTGTTTCAAGCATCTATATCTTGCATTCCAAATACAGATGCATCAAAGTAAATATGACTAGTGACAAGAGAGATTGTTTATCAAACACAAAGACATATTTTTCACCATGAAGTAGAACTGTAGAAGTTTATTAACACAGTATCTGTTGTGTGTTTAGTTTCTCATTCAGTAAATAGAGAGTTCTAATGAGTTGATTGCTCTTACTGTTTACTTTTAAATGCTTTTTCTATATTAAAAAGTTAACCCTGTCATGTGAAGGCTGTAGTTTAGTTCTCACTGTTAGTTAGTTTTTACTTCAAAACAGTGCTGTATTACAGTCACCAACAGGGTGATTAAATAGTTTGGTTTGAATTCTGTGATACATACACAGCCCAGTTATTGAAAAGCACTTACACTGTTTAAAAAAGTGCCACAAACGGTTCTTTGAGCAATACCATAGAAAAACCTTTTTAATTCCCTAAATAAACATGTTTGTAAATGAGGTATGCGAATGTGAAGTACGTTTTAAAAAAGTTTAAATAACCCTCACGTAATGCAAAGGTTCTTTACCAATTTAAGGGTTCTTCCAAGAACCATTACATTATGTAGAGGTTCTGTAAATTTCAGAAAGGTTCTTCTCATTTACACATCTCATTTACAAAAGAAAATCACAGAAGAAACCACCAACTGAAAGCTTCTTCAGGGAACCAAAATAGTTCTTCTATGGTCTGTAAAAAAATTCATTGACATGATTCATCATCATCATCATTTCCCATCATTTAAACAGGCCACAGATGTACTTTGGTACTACCTCCCCATGTAAAACTAACTTTGAATAGTCAGAATAGTTATTTCTGTTACTGAGGGTTTTCATTGACCTGTGTATTACTGTAACACCCCTATGCCTATATTTAAATCTAACCCAAACATTGACTTCAGCACATGTAGATCAAGCTTGACATCTGTGATATAACTGAACATGCGACGTTTGCAGCTAATCACATGCTATTTTACGTACAAGCCTGTTGACAATGAAGTGATGACTAGTTTTCTTTCCCAGTTTGCATGGACTAGGAAAGGCTGATGAATTATTTGTGTGATGTAGCCTCAAACAGATTGAACTCTGAGTGGATTCCAAACTGCAAAAGCACATCATCTCATTCTTAACTATATTCCGTAAGGCATGGGTTTCATCTCACCCTGTAAGGCTGACAGCCTGTGTATTTTTACTCAAACTATACCTTGCGGTTAAAGGAATGGTTCGGCAGAAAATTATATTTGCACAATTTTCCACCTATTCAAGACGTAGTAAATCAACCGAGACGTGCTTAATGTTTAAATTGTTCTTCAGTTTTAGTTTAGCACTGGAGCTACGAGGCTAACACCCAAATATTTTCCATTAATACAGCCAACTTCTCTAAACCCTCTGAAACAGCATCTTGGTTTTCATTAAGGTTTCATAGAGTTGTTGATGTGGTTTAGGCCACAGTATGACTTAATGTGAACTATAAAAGAATGACCTGTGATGGACTGGCAACCAGTTCAGGGTGTTTCCTACCTTCCAGCCAATGACTGCTGGGATAGGCTCCAACACCATGCGCAGCCCAGGTGTATGAGCGGCTTAGATAATGTATGTGTGTGTGTGTGTGTGTGTAAAACACCATATGCCTGCATCATGTGTGTGCACGCCAAATGAATTGCTTTGCCTTAATCTATTTTAGACAATATTGCTGTTTTTTTAATAACTGCCTGCAATGTCAAGCTACACCTTGATATTTTGTTCATTTTTATGGTTCACAGTAAGTCATATTGTGTTCTAAAGCACATTGGCAAGTCTGCATGACCTTAATGAAGACTCGGATGTGGTTTAAGCAAGTTGAGAGAAGTTGTTGGGGACGTGTTTACAGAAAAGATTTGGGTGACTATTGACTTGTAGCACCTGCTAGCAACATTAAACTTGTAACTTCAGTTTAAAACTAAAGAAGTAAAATTTGCACATCAGATATGTCTTGGCAGATTCCACTTACCTACTCGTCTTGGGTGAGTGGGAAATTGTATGAATTAGATTTTTCACTAAACCATTCCTTTAAAACATACATTTTTTAGCTTTCATTCTTTGCCAGTCTTTTGTACAAGACACTCATAACACACTTTACCGAACAAAACATTCGATTATGTCTAATGATCACTGCTTAGCAGACCTTATTTAACTTAATGAGCTGTTTATTTGAATAGCTCTATCATATCATTCTGTAGAATATTTTATCAAGGAAATGTAAGTGTGATAATCCATCTTGCATTTTAAGTGCCAAGTCATAAACAATGAAATTCATCACTTTGTCTTCATTTTGATGCCCTCCACATTTCCTCATCATTTTATATACTTGAGGAAGATGTTCAATGTAGAGCTATGGACTGACATTAGAGGTTTCTGTCATTAGATTGCTTTGATGTCAGATTACAAATCAAATGTTCAGTAGTCTATTAGCAGTACTTGGACTGATATCAGCACTGTAGGTCCATGAGTGATAATATGCCTGAAGAGAACTGAGTCATAGTCTCATTTTCCAGATGAGGATATTTGTTACTGATTCGCATAATCTCTGTGTCTGATCACCACCCACCACCAACAGCTAAAGCAGTGAAATCAATTGAGGGCTGAAGAGAGGAACAAAAGTCTTTTCCCAGCCATCTGGAAAACTTCAACTTTAGGAACTCTTCATTGAGGCCTGCGGCCTGACTGTGGTTTGTTCCCTTTAGTAGCCAAAAGAGAACATGTAAAGGTCATCATAGGCATTCTCTTCGGAGGTTAAAACCCATGTGGGTAAGATAATATCCTGGCGCTGTCCTCTACTTGTGTTCCTTTTCTATATATTTTTCTTCAGTGTATTTAAGACTGCAGATACTTGCTGGAGACTTTTTACAGAAAGTTATGAGATTTCATGAAACTGTAAAGTTTGAACACAGCGAATAGAGGAACTATATAAAAGTACTGCCACAATACATTGCTGAGTCTTCTATTTTTGTTTTAATTCCCTCTCTATCTTTGTCATGTCTGTATATAAAGGGACCTACCTCTTTTACCCTGATCCAGCATGCGCCTGAGGACAGGAATGCCACTGTCAGGTGATATCGCCACTCCACAGTGAGATATTAATATCATACTTTGCCATTTTAGAGGTAAAGTCATTTGCCTAAGTGGAAGAAGGGGCCTCCTTGTCTCAGGCCTTATCTGATTTTGTGCATCCCTGATGAAAAGCTTGTGACAGTTCTAAGGGTACACTCTGTGCATTGTGCTGGTCCAGGCACCACGGTGAGTCCAGGTCTGCAGGAAAAGCTATTTTCAGACAAGCATCATTCCACAGTACTGGATGACCTCATCAGGGCAGCAAATGCTATGAACAGAAGGCCTTCTTATTGCTTACACTACAGAAAGATTTAGTTTTGTTATTATATTTGTCATTTATTTATTTTATCACATTTGTCTGTTACTCAATCAAGACTAGGAGTCTTAGGCTTTTTGAGGATTAATGAGTATAGCAGAAAGAGTGGTTGCTTTTGACACTTAAGCAAGGTAGTGTATTCTAATGGAAGATTAATGTCACAATGAGTAAATTCATCACATCACAAACCTTGTATGTTTCTGCAGAATCATGCTCTGAGAAAGCCCAGGAATGTCCCAATAGGCTGTGCAGTAGAGTTGGAAATAGTAACATAGGAAACCTCAGATGCAACTTTCACCAGTCAGTTGAAGCAGTTGATAGGTCAGTTTTTGTACTGGATCCAGGAACAGTTCTCATACGTTCTCAACAGTTCTCATACGGTTGGGATCTATATTAGTGAAATCATTTGTTATTGTTTTGTGAATTGGACACAGCTGTTTTCACTGTTGTTTTTAAAGGGCCAATATCCTTCTTTTTTATTTTATCCCTGAAGTACACTTATAGTGTTTGATCTGCTTTTGTGAGCCAAAAACAGTCATAATTCATTTTTACATGACCATTTTCAAACCTCTCTTTATTCAGATTAAGCAGGCTTCTGTTGTTACTGTTTCTGATATATGTAAATGAGCTTGGTTCTGATTAGTGGTCCTGCATTGTCCTTCTTTCAAAAAGCAGTCCAGGCTGAAATGTTCCTTGTAAGTTCAGTGTTTGGTGAATGGGCATGGCTGAACTGCTGTAGGCTTAATAGGTAGATAAATGTAAGTGTGCTGGTTTGTGACATCACAGAAACACTGTGTTAAAAACAAGCTGTTTTTGCAGCTTAGTTTATGGACTGAAGATTGAATGGTACGTTTTCAAACTTTAAC